AGTTGCACTACTGTAATCTATATTATTTACGAGGACATTAAAACAACTTTTATAGTGAAACAATACATTGATTAGAAGAATATATTTATATTAATTAAGAAATGCAAAAAGTTTCAATGAGAACGCTGATCTTGTTTTTTAAATACCAGTTTATCAATATTTTGATACAAATGGTGGCAAGTTATTAGAGTTCCGAAGAGTATTTTCAATAAAACTTTCATTTTCATTTTATTTTCCGCGTGCTTCGTATGGACAAAAATTTGTTTTTAAATATAAGAGACATCACGTTCTCGCGATGTGCTGAATATTTTTCTTTAGCCAGGTGTAGTTTATAAAAGTCTAATAAAGACACTTTCCCTCGAATTATAACTCAAATACATTCCATTTGCTGGCAGAATGAAGCAGCAAATATGCCAACCGTCTAAACTAAAAAAACGTTTCGTTGGCTCTTGGAAATTATTCGTAATTACTCGCTGTGGCGCTAAATTTAAAAAAAGAATGGTTAAAATTATTCAAATAATAAAATTCTTATTCAATTATTCAATTATTTTGGTTGTACAATCGCGAGCCGCGGTTTGTTTGGACACACCTGTCTTATACGTCTCATAGACATCATTATCGACTTCAGCTTGAGAAGCTTCAAACTGACAGTCGTCATTATATGTCAAGCGTGAAGGTCAAAAACGCGGAAAAAATGTACGTTTAACTTTTTGCCGAGTTTCGAATACTTAGATCTGTAAGTTGACGGTCGTACTCCTCGGGCGAAACCTCTTCGGTGTCCATCAACGAGATTAATCTCGTCGCCGCAACGTTCATCAGGCCTTCGAGACGATAAGGGCTAGGAGGAGGAGAAGGAGGATCCAAAAATGATGCAAATTGCGCGCGTTTCGTCGCAATAAAGAGCAATAACGGTGAAGGTTCGCGTAGGCACGAGCGAGGAATGTCCGAGAGATGGAAATGGACGTGCCACGCTCCCGAGCCATTTTAATGCGTCGCGAGATGATTGATTAAATTTCTGCCGGGCTACGTCGCTGTAATCGAATGCAGGTACACGCAACTGCAACATGCTCGCAATTTTTACCCGGTCTGCTGTATACGACGTGGAAATCCTCCATGGATCAATAACAATAAAAATGTAATAAAAGAGACAAGAAAAGATGGATAAAAAGGATTTTCCTCGTGAAATTGTCCGTGTGTACGAGTGTGTTTAATTTCGTGCGGTGATACTGACGAAAAAAATGTATCCAAGCAGGCAAAAAGAAACGTAGGAAGAAAAAAGAAGGGACAAAACAGGAAGAAAGGAACAGAAATAACTGTAGAGTATTAACACTTTCCCGGCGGCAAATATTTGAAATGACAGTCGCGTGTAAGAAAATATTATTTTCATGTATGTTTTGCAAATAATTTTTGTTATTGTACCGTTTATTAATTTAACTATTGTAATTTTAATCGAACTCTGATCGTATATGACTGATTTCAAACTATCGTTTGAATTACTTGAAAGATCGAAGGTGAAATTGGCATTTATTTTTTTCTTTTTATATATATATATATATATATGTTTCATTTGTTGTAAAATGTTTCCAAGCAAATGACCAGTTGAATTTCTCTTCGTAGAAAATTTCATCGCAAGCGCAAGAAGAATGTATACCTCAAAGCAAATGCGTTTTCACGCGAATCGGCCAAATCAAAATTTAAAGAATCGATTTGCTTCGCTCATAAATATAGATAGGAACGTAGAATACGGCTCCTCCCCCCGTGATGTCACACGTACTAGCCACGAAGTGCGAGGAAGAAGTTCGAATGAATAAAAAACAGGGATTAATCTTTCATGACTTGCCTCCTTAAATTTCGTCAAAGTTGCCAATTTCAGCCCCCTGTTGTCGCGTCTCTCGAGTCTCAACGCAACGATCATTAGTCCTCCGAGCACGCGTTTGGCTTCCTTTGAGCCTCTTTTTCTTCTTTCGAACGTCGCCTTTTTTCGCTTCTTCGCGCGTTTACTTTCTCAGAGAAGGAACGGAGATCCTTTAATAAAGAGGACGACCGCAGGACAACCGCAACGTTCGACCGTGAATAAAGCATGTTTCTAAATCATTTAAACTGCGCGGTTACAGTTTCGTTCAAGTGAAAAAAAAAAAAAAAAAGGAAACTACGACAAAGACACGCGAGTTAATTCGAACACACGCATGAATTGATCTGGTATAACGTTAAACGATTTTACGTCCCGAGTAAAATTCAGTCCCAGGTAATTATACATTCCGATGACGTTTTAATTAGTAATTAAAATTTATTTACAGCCACGGGTAACAACGACGCTTTAATTAAAAGTAGAATATTTTACCGTAACGAGACAAATAAATGGAAACGATATAATGTTATTAATTTAATAAGCGGAGTTTGTGATTTAACGTTTGGTTAAACTGTTCCGTGATCGTCGTAAGGCTGCGTCTCCTCGCCTTTGAACAGGGCTCGGAGAATAATTAACGAAACGCGCGGAGGAACGCGAGAGCTTTCGTGGAAAAACGAGGGTAGAGAAAGGACGAATTAAAAGTGAAAATTACAGCATCCCGTTAATTTCGATTAATTAAGACAGAGGCACCAGCAGAAGTAAATTTCGCTTCACAAGTGACTTCGTTCTTGGACGTATGAATTTTTAACGAGTTCAGATTTTAGCGATACTCGTTAAGTTCGCGCCGTTTTTCAATTTAAAATAACTCGATGCTGTTAAAATTTCAACGAGGAAAGTATTACAGATCCCTTTTGCAGATCATATTCACTTTTTTTTTTTTTTGTTGCAAATCGAGTCTTTCTGCTTTGAGTTGATTCTTTAAGCCGTGGTATATAACAAAAATAAAATTCGACGTAGAGTCACTACTTCGAAAAAAAAATTTCACTGCATGTACGTGATAATACCTAAACGAAAAATAATACAAAATTAACGTACAATATTTATTTAACACTAAAAAGTTAATTTATATATACATACGTAGATTCATCTATAGCTACGCAGGGTAGTTTTATATATACATGTTCACACAATAATTATGACACTCTGTAGGAGAAACAGCGATGATTAACAATATCCACTAAATGTTCGTAGTTCGAGGGATTAAATTTAGTAGTTCGAGAATTTAATTTCATGAAAAAGCTTTATCAATGGGATTCATCATTGGATGGGAACTCAACAAAGTTCCAATTACTCTATTTTTGAGTGTTTTGATTTGCAAAAAAAAAAAAAAAAGAAAAAACCGTGAATACGATCTACGAATGAGTTGATTTACAATGCATTGAAACCCGCAATTAATTAATTTTTCAGTCAAATATATAGTTCACTTCTATGCTCTAAGCTGTGACTCTCTCTTTCTCTCTTTCTTTCTCTCTGTGTAACGCTCAACAAAGACGAGTCGGACGCGTGGAAAGAGGCGAATTAATCGAACCAACAAAAGAGGGGCGATTTTGCAAAGCCAGGGGCGAGAAAAAGGGTGGCAAAGTTGAGATACAAGCGCGGTGCAGGATTTCTTTTTTTTTTCAGATTATCGAGCGCTGGCAACGCACGCGGGTTAAAGCCCGCGATGCGGCACTATCGAGCATAAATCCGCTGATACGACTAGGGGAAGGGAGGAGAGAGGCTGGAGCTAGTTCAAAAGATGCGAGATAAAGCGCGTGGTTGTAGGTGCGAGGCTCGACGATCTCCGCTGCAGTTGCAGCTGCCGTTGTTGCCGCAGAATCGCCGCAAGGGCGACCAGGCTGGACGTGACCGGCGATTCCAGCCACCAGATCGACCCAGACCGTCATCACGTACGACCAGTCTCGAATTTTCTACAAGAACGCCCGATGAAGAAACACACACACATAGCAAATGACAATATTTCTTCGTTTCTCTCTCAATCCTTGCTGTGTTTCTACAAAGCTGAAGAATACTAAAGAATGGGGAGAGTGGATTAAAGATAAATTCAATAACAATAAATAACAATAAATTTGATAATGACGAATCGCGAAATTATTGATCTGAAAAAAGGTGAACGAGAAATTGTGTAATTTTACGAATTCATCAATCTCCACGATGGTTATTTTCAAAGGAATCAACATTATAATAAAGAATAAATAATATGTAATACATAATAAATAATATTAAATTCAATAATAATAAATTCGATGATAATAAATTACGAAATTATTGAACTGAAGAAGGGTGAACAGGAGTTTCGTGTTATTTTACGAGGCCATTCTCCACGATGATTATTTCTACTTTCAAAGGAGAGAGAACCGACAATCGAGAACTCCCAACAACTGCAAACGACGTCCAGCTCGTTATCCATGGGAAATTCTGGAATCCTACCGACCGAAACGGTCATTCCACCGGCTCAAGTTTCCCCAATAACCGCGCGACATTTACGATTCGCAAGGCGGTTTTATCGCACGATGAGGCCGCCGTCTCCCATCGACTGAATTCACCATCGTCGCGATGCGACGAAATCACGGCGCAAGGTGCAATAAAACAGCCGGATATTGCTCTTTACAGATGCTCTCGGTCCCCTCTTTCTCCCGTCCGCAAAAGAACTCATTAGCCGGCTTGGCTCGGCTCGGTTTCACGAGCACCGCCGGTTGATGGACGAACGCGCGTTTGCGACGGCCGATCTAATCGGATAAAGATCGGCGAGAACATCAACAGGGCAAAACGAAGAGAAACAAGAAAAAAGAAAAGAAAACCAATCTCGCGAGATGAAACGTCCCTTTTGTCCACTTCTTTTTTTTCTTTTTTTATTCGCGAGGCACCAAACCGGCAGAGAGGGTGCAAGAGTGTTAAAAAAAAACTGTCCTACATACGAAAACATGGAGGACGATGGCGAGGAAGAAGGAGGAAGTCCAGGACTTTTTGCCCTTACCAGGAGGGAACACGTTTCTTAGAAAGACGCTACGTCGCATAACCACGGAAATTACATCGAAGATGGAACGATCTCTATAGAACGGTTTCATCGCTGGTGTGAAAGATAGCTCACCTTCGAGATTTGCCATGGAGAACCTATAGCTGTCGATCCTCGGCGTGTTGATGTCCGAGTTGAAAGGCCTGAGGGTCGCTGAGCTCACATTGTCCAGACCCTGCAACAACAATTTGCGGAAACGTCAGTGATTGAGCGTTGTTACTCGCACGAGCTGATGTTAAAGGATTAATTATTTCTCGATCTCGCGAAACATCTATCCGATTACTTTCGATTTCTCTCTCTTTCTTAACCGAGTTAACCTGGTTAACTGAAACGGCTTAAAAATTAATTGCACTGATGGGTGCAGGCCAATGTGCACTCCAACCTAAAATTTACGAGCCATAAACTTTCCCACCAAAAGTGAAACTTATTGCGAGAACGTCGAAAGAAGTTCTCTCGCGTCGGGTATGACCAGAAATAAATCGCGGCCGCCGGCACAGAAATAAATCATTCGTCACCCTTTGTGTCGATAACCAGGCACGTTTCACGAACAATGGAAACAGACACGCGAATTCTTACGTTTCTCGCCGCGACGCAGAATCGTTCGATCAGAATCGGTAATCGAAATCCTTTTACGTTCGTAAGGTAAGCGACGACGGAGTCGCTCGCCCAATTTCCTCGATCAATTCCGCGAAACGCGACGATAATTCAAACGACGCGTGCTCGAACGCTCCTTCGGGCGAAAATAGGAGTGAATCGAGTGAAATACAAGTGGAAGCCGGCGAGAAGAAGGACGGGGAAACGGAGAAACTGGAGGACTTCCAGGATGTTCGATTGTTTTGCAGACGCGTGCATGCAATGATAACGACGACGAGACGAGGTGCAACACTGTCTCTGTGTACATCGTAGCCAAAAGGCGGCGAAACTTGCCTCTTAAGGGGATGTTTGCGCAGGGGAAGTTTGCGCTTCCGTTTTCAGCGGCCATAGACGCAGCATCTACTGGTAGAAATTTACTTTGGAACGCGGCTTCCTTTCGAAAAGCGAGCACGCGACGGCTGAAGTGTTGCGCAATAACTGTAGAAATAATAATTGCGTTGCGGATAATTCCCATTGTTTCGGTGTAAGGAACAACAATATTAGCGAGGTGACTTACTCGGGAATGATTTCGTATCGTTGTAAAAGAATATCGTCGTAATTTTTTGAATTGTAACTGTAATTTTGAATGAATTTCTATTCGATAGACACTTGGTACGCATTTTTCTTTGAACTACTAAACGACGACTAAAGTGTAAATTTTCGTTTGAAGGCTGTACACGGAATTGAAATTTGCGTACAATAGAAATTACATGTAATATCTATCATGTACATATACGTTAATTGTGTATATTATATTAATTAATTAATATATTTACTATGTATAATATATTATAAAATTATTACAGTTATATTATGTATAATGTAATTCTAATAATTCCATTATATAAAATAGAAATGTGCGTTGCCACTGAAGAAACAACAAATATTAACGATATTTATTCAGGAATGACTTTATACTCGTATAAAGTAATATTTCGTACGTTTGAATGTAATTTTGGATGAAAAGTGAATTTCCACTCAAAGGATACAGCTTTTGGTATACAGTTTTTGAACTACCGATGACTGAACTGTAAATTTTCAATCAAAGACACAGAAACATAGAAAAATCCTTTGAAAATCATTGGTTCACATCCGTAAAATTTCGAACGAAAATGATAAATCGGTCACTTCAACTTTGACAATTCCAGTGTTAACCGATCATTTTTAATCTACACAACGGTCCCAAGGAAGGTCGGGTTGCGTGAAAGCTCACTGTCCCTTAAAATCAACCCCATTCGAAACCAATTTAGCAAGTACGATCACCCACGATCCAGATATCCCTGCTATCGACTTACACCCTTTTTTCTTTTCGAAACTCGTTAGAAGGCTCGCGACGACGCCGGGCCGAAGATTCCGTAAAAATTCACCGCTTCTGCCTGTGAAGAGATGTCCACACGCGAGCGCTTCTCCCGCGGTGGCGCACACAGCCAGTGGACTTCCGCGTTTTGAACCATTAGCCGTAAATAATGCGAGAGCCGAGTTGCCCGCTCGGCCGTGTACGTATATACATGCGGCGTTCTACGGCGGTTAATCAAGCAACAGCTCCACACGGTGAGAGCACACACAATGTGCCTTCGGCTTCGCCACGTACACACAACACACGAAGGCACACGAAGTAAAACGTTCCAGCGGATAGGAGAAAACTGGGCTCGCCGTGTGTACCCCGTGTACACGTTTCGCTACGCCTGATAGATCGCCTTCCACTTCGTCCCTCTCCGCTCTTCGCGACCTCGCTCTTTATCCCTGACTCTCTTTCTCTCTCTCTCTCTCTTTATGTGACCGTAGGGCACACGGGATCTCATGGGACGCTGTATCGGCGATTCTTCGATGGATGAACGGCTGAAGCGATTGGAAACACGGGGTTGCTTGCGAACGATAGGGTGAAACTACCGTGGCATTGCCCAGGACGCGTGATGACGCTTTATCAAGTGATACTGAGATTTTTCAAAAGTATATAAAGTGGATTTGTATATAAAGTGGACTGCACCCGGTTACGAATTGACGAAGATTCTGAAATTAGGACGCAAAGGTTACAAGAATTATATAGGGATTATTCGCAATGAACGAAGAATCTGAAATTTTTGTAATCACAAGACCAAAGTTTCAGTCTGAGTTTGGACAAGAGTGATCAAGTTTAAGTAAGAATCGATGATTAATCGTGGTAGAATTTCTACAATAAAGAAACAAGATAAAATTCGCAAAGAGGGTTGAACGAAGAACTTGAAATTTTTATCATTAAAGCCACAAACCTCCAAGTCTAATCCAAATTTAAATAAGAATGATAATTAATAATGATGATTAACGACATGGTATAGTCTCTGCAACAAAGAAACAAGACAAAATCCATAATGATGGTTAAACAAAGAACCTTTTCAGAGATTTTTATAATAAGAAAAAAAAAGAAAAAAGAAAACCACGTCCACTCCAATCTAAATAAGAACGACGATAAACACGGCAGAATTTTCGCAATAGAGAAACAAGATAAGCCATTGGGGAAAAAAAAAAGAAAAGAAAAGAAAAGAGTAGGAATCGTTCATTTTCGAGTTCAGTGGGGTGGATCAAACTCGATAAATCGCTAGGGCTCGTGTAATCGAGAACATAGAGAGAACACGTGTTACATCGATGGCTTCTCCAGCCGAGCCGGCGAACACCGTGTGGGTGTAAATGTGGTGAACGACCCGGTAACCACCATTCGGCCAACAGGCACAACAATTAGATTCGACCGGATAAGCCGAGTCTCTTCCTGTAATGCGAAACTCGTGGACTAGGTTAGGTTGTTGCTCGTATCTCCGCGCCGGAGCCGTTGTCACGGACATTTAGCCGTGTTATTGACGATTGTACACGCGGCCAGATGTCGCGGGACCGAATTCCTCCAAGGAATTCCACGCCAGAGGATTCTCTTCTTCGCGTGAGAAAATTGATCAGTGCCTCGCGCCAAAGACGATCCTCGAAAACAGCGCGTGGGAGTGGCAATGGAATTGTTCGATTGTCAAGGAATCAAGTTTCTCGACGAGTCTAGTCGAGTTTCCAACTACAAGCTGTTACAGCAGTTGAAGTATCCTGTCTGAATTACCGATTTATTCGTGGACGAGGTGGGTCTTTTATCTTGAAGATTGTTTCATCGCCGCGTTTCACCGTTGTTAGAACTGGATTAAAGTACGTATCGATGACGAGGTTAAAAGTTAAGCAGAGGTGAATCAATCTCGACTTGACCAGTTTTCACTTCCTCCAAGTATAAAGAAGCGTTTAACGCGTATTAATAAAATACGACGAATTAACGTATGCGTCATTGGAATTTCCTATTCAATTACGAGTTTTTACGACGTTTTATAAAAAAAAAATATCGATTACCGTCACCAGAGTCGACGTTGAACGTTCGTTAGCAAATCCGTGTTTCTCTTTCGGTTAACTTCTTGCGCTGGAACAACGCGAATCTTTTGTCCCAAAATTGCAATATTTTCTCAATTTTAAATATATTTAAGTATAACCGTATATTTAACAATATAAATTGCAATATTCCAAAACTGCAATATTATTTTCTCAGCTCCAAGTATATATTTAACAGTATAAATTACAATATTCCAAAATTGCAATATTTTCTCAGTTCCAAGTATATGTTTAACAATATAAATTGCAATATTCCAAAACTGCAATATTTTCTCAACTCCAAGTATATATTTAACAATATAAATTGCAATATTCCAAAATTGCAATATTTTCTCAGCTCCAAGTATATGTTTAACAATATAAATTGCAATATTCCAAAATTGCAATATTTTCTCAGCTTCAAGTATATGTTTAACAATATAAATTACAATATTCCAAAATTGCAATATTTTCTCAGCTCCAACTATATGTTTAACAGTATAAATTACAATATTCCAAAATTGCAATATTTTCTCAGCTCCAAGTATATGTTTAACAATATAAATTGCAATATTCCAAAATTGCAATATTTTCTCAGCTCCAAGTATATGTTTAACAATATAAATTGCAATATTCCAAAATTGCAATATTTTTTCAGCTCCAAGTATATGTTTAACAATATAAATTGCAATATTCCAAAATTGTAATATTTTCTCAGCTCCAAGTATATATTTAACAATATAAATTGCAATATTCCAACACTGCAATATTTTCTCAGTTCCAAGTATATATAAAACAAATAATAAATTTATTACTTCTCAATAATTTCTATCTAGTGGCATCATACCAACGAGTTCGAAAAGAAAGCGACGAATTATTGTATACGGTTTGGTCACTCATTATGGTCCGCAATCAGTTGCCAGCGCAAATGGTTAAAAAGAAACGGAAGAAAGTCTCGATTTCAGCGTAACGACCGTCGATACAAACTGCGGGTAATGAAAATCTCGGTAACCGAGAGGGGAGAGGAACGCGTTTTCGAGGCGAAAGCGCATAAAGGACAAGTGGAGGACGCCGGAAGCGTTCTCTCGAGAGGGTGAGACCAAAAAAAAAAAAAAAAAAAAAAGAAAAAAAGAAAAAAAAAGTCCGGTTCTCGGCCGATGATGAAATAATTCGTGC